TGTATTCCATGTGATGAACTCACCAAATGTGAAACAGAGTTTAATTAATTATTTGCATGCCCTTTTCCTAATACTTTGATCTTCATTTTCTGACGTGTATTAATTTAAAATAAAAAATCCTGATTGGTTTTAAAGTTTTCACAAAAGTGGAAAAATTATTTTTCATATTTTTTTTTAAATTTTTCAAAAATAATGTCACAAGTTAGCTTTGCATTTTTACTAAAATTTATTTTTCACGAAATTATAAAATCTCATTGGTCCAGATTTTAATCTGATCTTGGGGGCACTATTTGTTTCACAAAGTTAGAAACTATTTAATTTTTAGGTTTTTATTTTTACTCAGATTTATTGAAATTTTTGGAACAAAATAAGTTTCTATTTTTTTGTAAAATTTAGTTTACACTGAAGTAGCGTGTTGTTTTTAAAATGCTGATCTTCATACCGGCATTTGTTGAAATTTAATGCATTTTTTAATTTAACCAATTAAAAAATATTAGCTCTTTGTGTTTACTACAAAATTTGTACACCTGGCGAAGAGATAGATGGTATCTTAGTATTTGCTTTAATTTGCCCAATTTCCCAATACTAACAATACAGCGTCGAGCTCTTACAATAAACAATTTTGAGTTGTTTTGGAATCAAATAAATTCGAGTCTGTATTGAATCTGTATTGAATTTATTACTGTTTGAGATAAACAAAGAAATATCTTTTTTAATTAACCTGAATCGTAGTCAATTAAAAAATATATTATTCACTGTGTAATTTGGGTGTCAACTGAATCTCTCGTTGGTGCAGATTTTTTTTTCCTGATATTTTGGGGACACTTTTTGTTTGGCAAAGTAGGAAAATTTTAGGCAAGTTTTAACTTAAAACTTTCAAGTTTATATTTTTACTCGGGTTTATTGAAATTTTGGTACAAAATAAGTTTCCAAGAACTTTAGTTTACACGGGAATATAATATCGTTTAAAATGGTGATCTTCACTTTAGGATGTAAGATAACTAACAAAAATAAGATAAGATAACTCACAAGTTAAGCTGCAGTTTATTTTATTTTACACAAACTTATAAAATTTTAAAATCATAATAGGTTAGATTTTAAATTTACATCGGACACGATAGGTTTAGATTGTAATATTTTTGTTTAAAAACTTGCATAGGTTTCTTTTACAAATTCAATGAAACCCATGATTTCAAACTTTACTCGTTTAAATTTGTATGCAAAAATAGTACCTAGTTTGTATTTTCTACAAAAGTTTATTTTTGGAAGGTGATAAATTTATCTAAACTTTGGATGTTATTTATTTCAAACCTTAAAAACCTATCTCGGTTTTGAAATGATTCAAAAAAACGTCTTCAGAAACTCGGAAAATTCTTAACAAGTTCAAAAGTGAGGAAATAAATTCTCATTGTACCAAAATTTATACAGAATTATAAAATTCCTCAGACCCACATTTCAGAAGTATTTCATTCAATTTCGAAAATAAGTTCCATATTTATTTTGATTTTAAAACTGACGTAATAAATTCCCCCTCAATTTTTCAGCAGGTCACCGAAATCTGCCCTCTCTCTATATCCGCAAAAAAAATAGTTTCTTAGGAATTAGCACGAGAATGGGACAGTATCCAAAAATTTGATGCTTTCGAATTAAACTTAATTAAACCTACATCGGTCTTAAAGTATGTCAAAACCGTTTTTCGCAAATTCAGAAAATATAAATTTATTCCTAATAACTTCATCACAAGTGGGAAAATTAGTTCCCATTGTTTAAAACTTTATTGCATACGCAGAATTTAAAAAATTCTCAGACTCACAATTCACCAGCCTTTCATAAAATTTCGAAAATAAGTTCCCACACTCTAAGAAACCCGGTAACTAAGTTATTACCAGGCGGAGTATCTATGTGACTCTACCGCATGGTAATTAATTTATTATTGAGTGGTAGACATTTTTTTTACCAAACCGGTAATAACCCCGGTCGCGAAATTTGAAAATATTACCAGCTGGTAACTAATTTTCTACCACTCAATAATAAATTAATTACCATGCGGTAGAGTCATATAGATACTCCGCCTGGTAATGATTTAGTTACCGGGTTTCTTAGAGTGCATCCATACTTTTATTTTAAAAAGTAATATCATAAATTCCCCCTTAACAGGTCACCGAAATCTGTCCCCTCTCTCCATCCGCACCTCTCCTCTGCGTCATCTGGTCTCTAATGTAGCCCTCCATCTTGCTCGTGTGATGGTTTTAGGAGTGTGGCTGCCTGCCTAACAGTGGCCCCCACACTTTCGTCATCTCGTCCAACGCGGGCTTTTCGTCCTCATCGGTCAGCACCCCGCCCATCGGAAATATGAGGTCGTACGGAATCACGGGAAGAATCACGTCGCGCCACACTTCCGAAGGAGGACGAATTCGGCGTCGTCGGCGAAATCTGCACCGTTTTCCCCCCCGAGGCGAGAGAGATCTCTTCTGCATAAAATTATAGGTCAGCTCGAGAGGTCAATTATAAGGCTAATTATAAGCAAGCAAACATTAATGTGCAAAATATTTTTAGGTCTATCGGGATTCCTAACAAAAATATTCGTCAATTTACAAAGCATTGCCGTGAAATACCTTCGTAAATAAACGTGAATTTCGTGGGTTCGATTTGTGGTGCGGACATGCGAACGGGTTTGGTTTGTCGGGGAAGCAGGTGGCGAAAACCGGTTAAATTTAAAAAAAAATCCTGTGTGAGGGACCGTTGGGGGACATTTTTCTTACCCCTTATTTTCCGGGATTTACTTTCCCCCGATTTCCGGAACAAAGATAGTAATCGAACCCACATAAATCATGTGCTGTACTAACAAGGGAAGTTTCATAGTCAGCGTAAGCTCTCCGATTTTCACCAAATTAGTTTTAACCGACCAATTTCATAACTGATGATTTTGGTAATATATAAATAACTTGTGTCTGAATTATGATTGGTCGACGGCGTATGAAGCAACAGAATTATGGATAATCATGAATTTTCGTGGAATAGGTTTGCACATTTTGAAATTTTATTAATTATTTGATATGTCTGTAAATAATGTAACAGAAAAAAACGACAATAAATGTTCAATAAATGATTTTATAAATTATAATTCAGAATTCAGATTATGTCCAACTCATTGGCCACCAACAACCAGAACTAGTTATCTGCGTGATTATACTACGGTATGCAGTTAGGTATTCCGTAACATTCTCCTGCGGTTAATTGGTTGAAAGAGTTTCCACGTGAAGGAGCTGCCTCATCACCCGCAGATCGTCGCACCTAATAAAGTGTCATTAAATACGTGCCATGCACGTATTAATTAAATTAGTGCAAAAATACGCCTTCGCAAAAAAATACAAAAACTCACTTTCGGATCTGCTGCATATTTTTCTTCAAAATTTTTCTGAGAATCTGCAAGTTCTGCAGACGCAGGTTCGGCAAAAATGTAGGCCATCGTGGCAATCAAGACAAGGGCAAAAAGAATAGCCTTTATTTTCTCAGATTTTTGTAAACTATTACGACTTGAGGAAAATTAGTGAGTAAAAATGTATCGATGGTAGTTCAGCGTTGCTGAAAGCTGGATTGATTGTCATAGTAGAGTTTATTCCCTTTTTATATTGAAATTTACGGATAAAACTTCGAATTGTTTTCTGAGTGACTTTACGTCGATTTGCTGAGGCATTAGTACAAATTAGGCAATTAGTCTCGTCTTTTTTCAGACGGTGAGGTTTTCCCCATAATTAGTGGACACGTGGTTTATTAAATTATGTGATTTACACACAATATTGCTGAGATTAAATCGATTCTAGACCCTGAAAGTAAAAATGATCTCGCTGGAAGATATTTTTAGACTGATGGTGATTTTTATTAAACAACTTGGTTTTAAGGTTTTGACAGTACATAGGAGACATTCATACATATGTAATAATATGTGGTCAGAAGTGACCATACAAACTACGCAGAGTTATGCTCAAACGAAGTGTCCCTTCTAATGAGGCATAAAAACAAAAGGACCCTTTTAATCCCTTGTCCTGGGAAAAAGGTTGGAAAATGCTCAGCCCTCATAAAAGTCGACAAACTTAAAAATTGATAAATATGGAAAACTTTGTTAATATGCATATTTTAACAGACCCTACTGTGCATAATAATTCCGAATTGTCGAAACGCATGATTAATTACCTAAATAATTTTCCTAATTATACTCAAAGTGGAATCTTCGTTACACTCTAAGAAACCCGGTAACTAAGTTATTACCAGGCGGAGTATCTATGTGACTTTACCGCATAGTAATTAATTTATTATCGAGTGGTGGACATTTTGTTACCAAACCGGTAATAACCCCGGTCGCGAAATTTGAAAATATTACCAGTTGGTAACTAATCTTCTACCACTCAATAATAAATAAATTACCATGCGGTAGAGTCACATAGATACTCCGCCTGGTAATAACTTAGTTACCGCCGGTAACTTACCGGGTTGCTTAGAGTGTATGGATTTAGTACTCGGCCAGCATTTTTACCACTCCGACTTGGCCGAGTATTGTCGCCCACTTAGCGTAGTATTTTCCAATTTTTTCGTTATTTTGTAACATATTATAAAATCCATGAAACTGATTTAATGAAGTGTTCTTGCGTTTTGGGTTTTGCAAAATATACCTTGCAACTTTTTTTGTGTGTCGAGTCGTAAATCATGTGCTGTACTAACAAGCTGAATTAAGCTGAATTTTAATATGAAAACTCGTATGTTGTACTAGGTATTCTAATTTATTTGCACCCTGATATATTTCCGGTACACAAATTAAAGAATTTTTAATCACATAATAAACCTCTTCTTAACCCAGAACCGATGGATTTACGAGGCTGCGAAGGGCGTACTTTGGCACTGTCCATCCCTCATCAACAAACAGGCCGAGTAGGCGACCTTTCCCGTGACCCATAATTCTCAACCTCACTCAACGACCTGAATCAAATGCTCTAACTCTGTGATCCATATTAGTTATTTATTTATTTATTTATATTTTTTATTTGATTGACTCGTATGAATTTATTCATTATGCTGAATCATGATGGACAACAGTCATCCCCGTTTTGTACATTTCAAGCATTAAAATATGTGTACACATTATGAAGTCATGTATTTATTGCATATTATGCCACTTATGAGGGTCCTGCTCCTTATCGAAAATCCTTAAAAATTACATTGAACGGTTTTGGCGTCAGTATAAAGGATATCTTCGACTCGAACCCATTATCCGGCCCGTCTTTTTCAAACACAATATCGAATCTTTGCGCGATATTGGTCGCAAAGAGGAAAAGGCTGTCCCTCGCCAAACTTTCGCCAAGACATTGGCGAAAGTTGGGGAGAAAGGCCCCCTCCCCGTGGAAAAGGGGATCAGGGCGTCATGCTTTTTGAACGTTTTTCCATCCGGGCTTAAAAACCGGTCGGGTCTGAAGTTCTCCGGATCCGTCCAGACTTTCGGGTCGAAATGGATGTAGTGCACGTTGGCCGTGATGACGGTGTCTTTCGGGATGAGATAACCTTTATACTCTTGATCCTTCATCGCCCTGTGTTGGACTCCTTGCGGGGTTATGGTAGAGAAACGTAACGTTTCTGCGATCAGGGCTTCAGTGTATGGCATGCTGAGACAAAAAACGGAAACAGGTTTATGTCAGGTTTTGGATTTTTGAAAATCGAAGTTTAGGAAATTCGCGAATAGTTTTATCAATTAAAGCTATGAATTGTGTAAGATTATCAAGTTAACGAATTTACTAAACACAGATCTGCAAACTCTGCTATGAATTTTGTGAAGTTGCTTAATTCAAGAGTTAAGCGGTGAGTTTTGCAATTTTGCAAATCAACGTTATGGATTTTGTAAAATTGCAAAATTACCCGTAACATGTACATAACTGAATAAAGTTTTTAGATTAGGGGAGACTTAGCGCAAATCGTTATACACTTTTTAAAATTATTTTAGACAAAAATTTACTGCTCAAAAACTTTTCAAAATAAATATTCTTACCAGATTTTTACAAAAAAATTTCAAAATTAATAATTCTGTCACCGTAGAAGGCAGTCTTTGCAAATTAAATTATGCACTAACTTTGGCCTGTCTGACAGAATAGTTGACCTACTGTTGCCCATAATGGATTCAATTTCCTTTTGAAACTTTTCCAGAATTTCTGGAAATTTACTGAGGTAAAGCATCATCCAGGACAGCGTCGTTGCAGTAGTATCCGTTCCAGCGAAATATAAATCGCCCAGAGTTTTGGCTAGGTGGTCCACTAATTAAAAAAAGAGTTAGATAACTAACTAATAGGTGCAAAAATGTGTGCAAATTTTCGAAAAAGCTATATGTGACTAGTTGGAAATGTTATAATCACACTTTGTGATTAGGTTTGATTTCTGGGATATCTTGTGGAAAGTGAAACAACTGATTTAAAATACACTCTACAAGTATAACAAAACTGTGTTATATGCTGGACAAAACCAACTTAATATTTACATTCGGCACGAAATTCTGAGCATTTTTCTACCCGGCTTGATCCGATTAGGACAAAGTTGCATTTTGGATTTGATTTAAAAGATTAAAATTGGTTAAAAAACGGTTCGAGCTGGGAATGAAAATTCTCAGAATTTTGTGCTCAATTTTCTGACTCCAAAATTTTAATATAAATTCCCAGAGCCGAGAATCGTCGTTTTTGACGATTTTGAATTTGAGTCATCGGATCCTACATTAAAGAAAGTTGTTCCACGTACTCACTAATCACACATTTCACAGACAGCACATGAAATCTTAATTGTGCTGTGATTTTCCAAACCCTGCATATTTGTACCCATCTGCTACATACATATTAATATATACGTAAATCTTTATATATGTGTAAACCATACCACCCACTTTTCCCATAAACGCGGAATTCGGATCCGTAGTTTTTGCAATTTCGTTTAAAAATGCGTCCGTAAAATCTCTGCCAATTTATGCGAAATAAAAATCCCTTTAATTTTGCACATATGTAAATTCATGGCATGTACCTTATAATTTTTTACATCTGTCGAAGTCATCCTGTCTCGTTTTCTCGTGGTCAATCCCTGGTTGTCTCATGTAATCGGCCAATTCGGCCAGTGCATGTTTCATTTTCGTGTAGCCAGTCCACCTTGGGAAGAATTTTACTAGCCATGGCATCAATATGAGGGCTCCTCCACCCTCTATAATTTCATCAAATGCGCTAAAAAAATTCAAAAAAAGTAAAACATTTAAAACGAATTTTGCAATCTTTTTAATACAAACTCCTCCATGTATTCATCTCGGAGTAAGAAAAACGTACAAAATCTAGCTTCTAAAATACTCCGATTTAAATTTGAACGCCAAACATACATTTTTTGCAACTTGTATTATTTTTTTAAGCCTAAGGTGCATTAAGGCTGTTGTAAGTGGAGGTTAGATTTTAGCAGTGCAACTTGCAAAATACTGAAAATGAATACTCTAAGACATGCAAAATGCATAATGCAATAAGATTCTTGCGATTTTCAAGCTTTTGCAGAAGTATTTCTGTAATAAGTACTTCTCATCAATTCCGCCATGTAAATGATTTTCAGATGTTCATTAAAAAATAAATGGTGAACATCGAATTTTTGTCCTCAATTTTCGTCTGCTAATAAGTTTTTTTAGTATTTGCAAACTCTCCTCAATTTCTCACAAACATTTCTTCCACCAAACAAGAATACGTAAGTTTTCCTGAAAATATAAATTTTCCATTTCCCCGTACCTATTAGTCTTATGCGTCATTTTCAACAATTCCTTATCATTCTGTTTGTGCCTTATCCCCGTGCGAATGGCCCACAACGAGTTCACCACGGCCAGAAGCAGACGCTCCTTGATGTCGTCGACCTTCGATAAGCTCGTGGACTTCCAGCATGATGGAGTCCTCCATCGTGCCCTTTCCGAAACCAAAGTCGCGCAACTGTCGCAACGTGAAACGTCGGAGTTCCTCCCAGTGTTCGCCTTCCGTGTTGATAATCCCATGCACTTTGCCGTCCATGATGAAGTCAAACTCAGAAAAGTCCATCCTTCCAGAAAATGCGGGGTAGGAAAACATCTCTTTCAACATTTTGTAGTCCGAGACGATCACCATGCTGAAAATACAGGTGCAAGAGTTATAATCACAAAAATTGATTAAATGTATGCATGCATACGTATTTCATACTTACAATAAACGCTAAAATATTTAAAAAATATTTGTGCATGGAAAACCATAAAAACAAGAATTTTCGCAAAAATGGTGTGCTTTTGAATTTAACGAGAAGGCCACCGCACTTGAAAAAGTAAGGGCATATTTTAATCATATAAATTGCAAATATTGGCAAAATTCGATCTAGTAAAATTATTGCAATTAAAAAGAGATGCTTAAGATTATGATAGTATTTGCAACCCAATTTTTCTTACAAACGCCCAAATCATTTTGTACTGCATTTTTGTGCATGATAAAAATAACAACGACTTTGTAATAGGAAAACTCGATTTTCTCGGAAGCTTGTAAATATGGTTTTTGGATGAACCTATTACCTCTCATGCTTGTAACACAATTGTAGAAGTGTGCAAATTAGCTTTGCAAAATAAAATTTTCACAGGTACGAACATTCTCATAATTTATTGTACTTATACATATAACTTACTTTAATGAACCAAAATTCAATTTGCACAATGGTCCGTATTCTTTCGCCCATTTGCTGAATGTGACATGTTGGAATTTGTCCTGCAAAAAAATTAATTAATTCTTCAAAGTTTCAGAAGGAAATTAGTATTTAAACAAATTCTGTCTAAAGTACCAGTTGGAGGATATGTCCAATTAACGGTAGTCCACGAGGCCCTATAGAGCAATTTCAAATCTTACATACAATTATAAAAATCAAAACTTTATAATTTTTGGAAAATTATAATTTTGCCCCACCTGGAGGAGTATTTTTCCACCTGGGCTTCCTCAAAAAGACGAAATAGATCAGACATCCCAGCACCACTCCGAGAGCTATCACTGTTCCGGAAATCATTTTCACCAGAAAATATGTATCTAATTATCCCCTGATTTTTTTACCTGCGAAATTTTTAACTCAAATCACACATTAATGAAAATATTCTCTCATGAAATCCTGTTATGATCAGGATGCCAACAAATCCAGGACTGATTTCACAACCTGCCTCACTAACAAACTAATATCATAACAAATATTATTCGACGCAAAGTTGCACTCTAATTTTACGTGCTAAAATCATGCTAAATCCAAATATCTATCACGCGAGACGCGAATTTCTCTTCAGTCAAGGTTATGTAATTATCAGGCATTTACCACCACGGTCCAGCAACACATTAATCCTAAGTTTTGCATGTGCATGTACAACACGTCTCATTTTTGCTGGTTTGTAATCGCAAATTGTAAGGTTAGTTACGTACGTGTTGTTGTAAAGCAGTGATTATTTGCCAGTTGTACCTAACAGCAATTGAGATCTTTGGAAAAATTAATGATATAAGACAAGATTTTTTTTGCTCCAAGAAATTTGACTACAAAGAATCGAAAGCATTAAATTCAGAGAGTGGTACAAATTTTGTAAAATGCATGCTTTATTTTTTTCGTACAACTTAATTAAATAAATAAATACATATTTTAGCATTTAATTTTTATACTTAAATTATTTACAATTATATAATTTTTGTTGCCCAATGTTTGTGCATTTTTAATAACATGGCATATTATTTCGTGCAATTATTTTCGCTTAGTTTTTGCAAATCCAGTCGCTTCTTCTTCCCCATTGTCTAATTGTTCCGGCTGTGGCCATTTTGGAGCAGTTATCGATCGTACAGTCGCGACAGCGGCAATTGTTATGATAGCGTTGCCAAATGAGGACTTTACCTTCTCTGTGGATAGACATGATCGTAAGAGGTGAGTCGGGTTACTGGTCAACCCGGTAAAAACCCGATAAAAACCCGACATGCCTGTAACCCGATCAGGCTCGGACGGGTCGGGTACAGAAATTTATCGGGTCGGGTTCAAAAATTTATCGGGTCAGTTTCAGAAATCTATCGGGTCGGGTACAGAAATTTATCGGGTCAGTTTAAGAAATTTATCGGGTCGGGTTCAGAAATTTATCGGGTCAGTTTAAGAAATTTATCGGGTCGGGTTCAGAAATTTATCGGGTCGGGTTTCTAAATTTTTAACCGACTCATCTCTATTCACCGTGTAAGTGTTTTAGCAATAAAAATGAAATTGTTTTTAAATTACCTGCCACACTCACTAATTCATTTTCTACTAAAATTTTTTCCAGTTGCTCCACCGTTGCTTGATCCCCTTTAACGGTTGACCATTCATCCAGCATTTTGAGAAACATTGTTTCCGCGTCCATTGTCCCGTTCTGATAAGCATTTTCTAACGTTGTGAAATGGGCCGGGTTCAAACCAAGGGTTCGATGCAGCATGCGCCATTTCCGAATTGCAATTTCATCCTGTACCAATAATTTTACGAGACGATGGGTTTGCACCCTACTTGACGAGGAGGAGGACGGTCTGATATTATTGTTTCTTCCAATGGCAGCAATAATTGAGCCATACTTTTTTCTAGAGAGAAATATGTTAACCTTTGACATTTGTTTAAATAAAATATAAATAATCAGGGGTGGGCAAAATACTTAAAAAAAAATACACTCTTAGAAACTTGGTATTGAAAAAAACCTAACGGTATTGATACGTGACTACCGCTTTGGTATTAAACGGTTATACCATATTGGTATAGAACCGGTATTGAAATTATACCTCATAATAAGGATTTTAATACTAATTGGTATTATATTTTTTACCACGTAGTATTAATTCAATACCGGATCAATACCACGCGGTAGAGTCACGTATCAATACCAACGGTTATTGATTTTTTTAAGAGTGTACAGTATTTTGAGCTCCGATCTTCCCAGGACCGGATTTTGGATTTCCGGCGCTGTTACAGGGTTTGTGATGAATTTAACTTTTTATCGCGGTCGAAATACAATGCTTTCACAATTAAAAAAATATATATTTTGAGAGAGATAAAAACTCAATTTCAAGAGTGGGTTCAAAATACAGGTTTTGTGAAGAAATTAGCTTTTTATCGATGCCAAAATAGTAAAAAAAAAATCGTGAAAACATATTTTGATTGTGATTAAAATTTAATTTATGCATCAAAAAACCTGTACATATTTTCGACCAATTTTTAGTCCTCTGCTTTAGAAGCGCTGGAAAATTTCGAGGGCCATTATACCCACCAAAAGATGAGATGCATGAAGAATACAGCAGTCCTACGAAAAAACCGGTTTTGTGGCGAAATCAACTTTTAAAACTCCATTGTTTTCACGGTTTTCTAAAAATGAAGTACTTTGACCTAGATAAAAACTTGATTTCTTCACAAAACATGGCTTTCGCCTTAATTATCTAAATTTTCGTGTTCTTGTGGGTGTAACATCCGTGGAAATCCACCAAACCCTAGGAGCTCAAAATACTGCATATTTTGACAAAGCATTTTACCCACCCCTTAAAAATATTAACAAAATTACCCAAACATAGATTCATACACGATTAACGTAATAACAACAGTAACCCAAAATATGTCGGTATATTTAATTCCCCAAATGTTATAATGTGCTGCTACCGATCCTACTAAGGAATATTCTAGCTGAAAAATATCATTAAAATTTTTTTAGTAAGTTGGTAATAATAATTAACTGTTTTTTTGCAATATTTGCATATTTACACCGCAAGATCCTTGAAGAATGTACGGATCTATAATTAGTTTCACACACTTTAATAAAACTGCATGGTACGAAGAATATATTGAGGATATTCATTACGAGTTAGCATCGTTACAAACGTTCAACGTTCGCAAAAAAATAGTTCGCAATTTCGCAAAATAAAATTGGCTTGAAAATTCATTTTTTGCAAACTTGCACATATACGTAGTATTTAAGTAGTTCGCAAAATATTTTTCAAAATTAAGTTGCGATTGGAACTCGTAATGAATACCCTCATTGTATTTCTTACTAATTCTTACCGTCAGGATCATCATAGCCTTCACAAGATACTTGAATTTTTGCAAACTTTATATTTTTATTCATCGTTGATTTACATTCCCACTGTTAATTATTCAATCAAAATTAAGTGACATTTATAAATATGCATAATTATTGTACTCATGAAAACCTTCTTGTATCTCGCAAATTCTGGATAACTTGTGAAGTTTTGCGAGATTTGGCAAAAATTTTTGCGCAAAAAGTATGCATTTTTTGCTGAAAAAGTAATGATTTTTTTATTGAAAAAGTATGATTTTTTGCTGAAAAAGTATGGAATTTTTTGCTGAAAAAGTTTAGGATCTTTTGCAACTATTTTTTAAATTGTCGGAATTTTACTTCGGAAAAGTTTACGAAATAAGTTTCTATGCTAAATATAATAAGATAAGACGTTGTCGTGAGTACGCCCATTATGATTAAATAAAAGCTACCTGAACATCTACACCGTCCCAGCCTTGATTATAACACTGAACACTGGTTGGTTTCGTGTCACAATTTTTTCCAAGACATTGTAACTGCGGTACTGAAGGTGATCTTCTTCCAATGGTAAACTCATTTTCGAAAAATGTTAAAACTTCAATTGAACTTAATTCGATTTTACCAAATTTTTTCCCTTTTGTAGGGATTGTGCCAGCTAAATTGAAAAAAGTTTTATATGTAGGATAACTTTAAATATATAAATAATTAGTTAATTAATAATTTATAATTATGATGAGTTAATCTACCACTATTTCCAAAAAATACTGCTTGTTGTATAATTAGGATGGATGCGAAGTATTTTAATTTACACATTATAACACACGATGAAATCAGGATAGTACTTATTTTGCATGAGAATTTGCAGACCGTTTGTATAAAAGTGTTTAATCAATTGTGTTAAAAGCAGATGAAAATGATGAATAACATTGCAAGTTCATTGGATAATTTTAATCCGTCAACAAGCAGTGATGGGCGGGCTCGGGTGGCTTTGAGGTCTCGGGCGTCGGGCTCCTATAGGATATTTGAGGCGGAGGTCATTGAAATCAGAGTTGGCCTATTTTTTGAAAATTAGAGAGGTCAAGGTCTAACCTCGCTGAGTCCTACAGTGCTCAGCATGAGGTCGCAGCTAAATTTCTGAGGTTGAGGCTTTCAGCTTTCTCGGTGAGGAGGAGGACATGTGAGGTCGTAGGCCTCGTTTTATTTTTCGGGAGGCCAAGGCCTTGTGAGCATAGCTGTTCAAACCACAGTGTGCATCCATAAAGTGGATAGGGATTGTGGATTGTAGTTTTGGACCAGTCTGTAATTTTGTAGTTTTGTGGATTGTGGACAGTTGTTAGTTTGTGGAAGAGTTCATAGTTTGTTGTTTCGGGAATGAATTTCTGGATTGTAGTTTTAGTTTTGTGGATTGTGGTGAGATGTTGGTAATTAGCCTTTAATTTGTTACCGCCGCTGGCCTAGCTGTCTCAATTTCTCAATTAATGAGTAGTTTGGTCACCCCACAAACTACAAATGCACAGCTATGCTTATGAGGTTGCCCATCACCGTCAACAAGATAACAAACCGTTAGCGATAAGTTTAAACAATCAAGGCAACCCGATTCCTGTGACTCCGTTAATGAAAAGTGTTATTCAATCGACCTTCTGCATGCGCCGTGTTTCTGTATTATTCCAATATTAAATACGTACATACGCGTTCAATTGAATTTAAATTCATTGCATATTGATAAAAAAAATTTATAAAAAATAATCAGATTCCTTTGTCCTACAAATCCTACAAGTAATTATATGTAAAGTGAATAATTATCTCAATTATCCACGAGTGCCGGCCTTTGTCTCTTATCTCGTGTACGTAATTGATTATGATTAATATCCGGTGTGTGTTGTAATTGTATATAGTTTTTCGGAGATATCGTTAATACTTATTCAAATTAATGAAATGTTTTTTTTAATAAATAAAAAATACTAGCAATAAAGAGATTCACGGTCAGTTTGACGAAAATAAATTTTTGCGAACTTGCAAATTTTTGCGACACTCTACTTACATAATGTTGAACGTTTATATTTCAATTTCACCAACCTAAAAACTGAACTAAAAATCGGTTTTAATCTCGTTTCTCTGCACTACAGTTTTTGCAACTTTTGGCATTTTTCCATTACAGATATTTTATCTCAATTTTAAACTGGAAATCTTAGAACTAAGATTCATTAAGATCTTAGAACTAAGATTCATTATGATCTTAATGAATCTTAATTATGATGTAGTTTTTTCATCTTGAAATTATTCCTAGTGCACATTACAGAATTTTCAAGCACATAATTCTAAGCCAATCTGTCCTTAAAAATCACACTGAACGGTTTTGGCGTTAGTATAAAGGCCAATTCCGACTCGAATCCATTATCCGGCCCATTTTTATCAAACACAATGTCGAATCTTTGTGCGATATTGGTCGCAAAAAGGAAAAGGCTGTCTCTCGCCAAACTCTCGCCGAGACATTGCCTCTTCCCCGTGGAAAATGGGATCAGGGCGTCATGTTTCTTGAACGTTTTTCCATCCGGGCTTAAAAACCGGTTGGGTCTGAAGTTCTCCGGATCCGTCCAGATTTTCGGGTCGAAATGGATGTAGTTCAAGTTTGCCGTGATGACGGTGTCTTTCGGAATGAAATACCCGTTATATTCTTGATCTTTTAAGACTTTATGTTCCACTGCTTGGGGTGCAATGCTCGAGTAGCGTAACGTTTCCGCGATGAGGGCTTCCGTATACGGCATTCTGGAAAAATATGGCAAAAGTTACGGACTCTCAGGCATTAAAACATTACATTTCCGGTTCACATACGGTTCACACACCGGATAATTTGTACACTTCTCGTAAATTACTTGTAATCTTCAGAAACATGTTACATAACATAACATAAAATTACATAACAGTAAACTTCAAGTTTGTATCCTCAATTTGCATCTAACTTTGTTATAAAAAATTTCAAATTGAAAACTTTCACAATTGCGTACGAGTTTGTCCACATATAATTTTGTCCTCTACCAAAAATGTAAATATTAATCCATTTCTGGAAAAATCTGGCAAACGTTGAGGTACGGTTTTCGACACACAAATTTAAGAAAATGCTCAAGTCACAAAGTCACAATTACATGTGCTGGTCAGATTTCTTATCCTTAGTTTTGTAGAACGTCAACATTCACATCGTTTGGTATAATAAAAACAAGGTATAATAATAAGACTTCAACTCAGGAAATTCAAGTGTTCAATCTATTTCCGGTAAACGCTTAAAATTTCCCAATACATAATTTTATATTTTGGTGTTAAACCTTGTAATTTTTGAAAACTTGTCAGTACGTTACTTTCTCAAGTCGTTTAAAAATTTTCGTCTTTATATGGAACAAATTTGTTCAAGTTAGATTTTGTTTGATGCGTTTAGAAAATATTTGAAAATGCATCAAAATTTGAAATATTTGTAAGATTCTGTAAGTTTGCAGAATTTACAAAGGAATTTACTAAGGACTGTGTGAATTGCTGCAACTGATTGACACTAATTTTGTAAGCTGTATAAATTTTGCAAAATTCTTACAATCAAGATCACTGTAAATAATTTTGAAACGAATCGTCACCCGCGGAGGTACTATAGTGCTCTATTTTTGGGTAACGATTTAGGAGACGTTTTATCACCAGGGGGAGATAAGCCAAAAACTCGGGTATCAAACACACTTGACGTTGTAATTAAGAAAAATTGAACATTTTTACCTAAGATTTTTTAAAAATAACAATGTTGATTTTTCTAAGTGACGACGTCACATGTGTTTGATCCACGAGTTTTTGCCTTATCTCCCCCTGGTGATAAAACGTCTCCTAAATCGTTACCCAAAAATAGAGCACTATAGTACCTCCGTCGGGTGACGATTTGTCTCCAAATTATTTAGAGTGATCCATGTCAAGTTTGTGAAGCTTTATTGTCAATTATTGGCGAAAGTTTGCAAAAATTTGCACCCAGTTAAATTTACTGAATTACTTTGCTCTGTCTGACACTGTTGTAGATCTAGCGTTGCCCGTAATGGATTCAATTTCATCTTGAAAAGTTTTCAGAATTTCTGGAAATTTGCAGAGGTAAAGAATCATCCAGGACAGCGTGGAGGCCGTTGTTTCGGATCCGGCAAAATGTAAATCACCCAAAGTTGCGATAAGATTTTCCTCTAAAAGTCAAAGCCACTTAAATTATTCAAATTGCTATTAATGCTCGTAATTTAGTACTATTTACCTCCTAATTTTCCAATAAATGCTGAATTAGGATCAGTAGTTTTGTCAATTTCTTTTAAAAATGCATCGGTAAAATCCCTGCAAATTTAAAACAGTTAAAATCAATTTCATTTTGCACGTAAATTCATGTAATTTTTGCGTATGAAATGACATGAAAAATATAATTTTTGTATATGAATTCATGACATGAAAATCATAATTTTGCACATCTACTTCTAACCTGTCAAAGATATCTTGTCTCGTTTTTTTATGGTCGATGACTGGTTTCCTCAGGTAATCGGTGAATTCAAGAATTGCCCGTTTTATTTTATCGTACCCACTCCATTTTGGGAAGATGTTTACTATCCACGGCATAAATAAGATGACCCCTCCACTCTCCAAAATCCCCCCGAAGGCTCTTTCAAAAAACGAAATTCTTTTAAAACTTAATTAAATATTCTAAATTGTGTAAAAAATTGCTCTTTTGCTGTTCAAAATCTGAAAAACTTCTCAAATTATGAGACCCTCATAAATTTCAAAATTCTGAGGTGACTTCTCCGAAGAAAAAATTCAATTGTATGTTTAAAAATTTTGCAAAATTTAGCGTAAGGTCACGACAAATTTGAATTTCCTTAAAAATTACAAGATTCCAATTTCTCCTCATTTTTGAAGCTTCTCCACAGAATTTGTCAAAATTTTGCACAAATTTGCACTTCTTTACCCTTAAAAATGAATCCGTTCACTATCGCAAAATTTTCCATAAAGTTGTACATACAAAATTTGCATTTGCTAAAAAACACTCCGCAAAAACTCCAAAATTTCAATTTCCCCTCACTTTTCCGACATGTTCAACAATTCCTTATCATTCTGTTTGTGCCTTATCCCCGTGCGAATGGCCCACAACGCGTTCACGTTGGCTAGCAAGAAACGCCGCTTGACGTTATCGACCGGTTTCTCGCCACACTCTTGAAGACCGTCGATCAGCTCGTGGACTTCCAGCATGATGGAGTCCTCCATCGTGCCCTTTCCGAACCCAAAGTCGCGCAATTGTCGCAACGTGAAGCGTCTGAGTTCCTCCCAATGTTCGCCTTCCGTGTTGACGATCCCATGCACTTTTCCGTCCAGAATGGGGTCGTATTCCTTAAAATCCATCCTCCCAGAAAATGCAGGGTTGGAAAACATCTCTTTCACCATTTTGCGGTCCGAGACGACAACCATGCTGCAAATAAAAAGATATAAAACAAGGTGCAATTTCTTAGTAAAAAATTGTGTAATCCAACCCAATTTTGCAAATAATTTTGCAAAATTTACAAACATCCTCTCACGAGTTACTTACTTTTCCGTTATAATTGTAACTTACTTCATTGGACCAAAATTCAATTTATACAAAGGTCCATATTCTTCGAGGTCACAGCGTAGTTTCCCACTCCTTAAAGTGCCAAGTGTTCGCACTTCTATAGCAAAAAATTCAATCAATTTTTGTGCCATAAAATTATGGAACTCTCTTCCACGTAACTGGGAAAGTAATTTAACTTTTCCTAAATTCGTACAGCAGTGTAAAGAATTGCTTAACAAGAATTGTTACATTTATTATAAATTTATAGATGATTAGATTAGTGCTTTTAAATTATAGCAATTCTGTCATGAATTGGAAACCAGCTTATATTAGCTGATATTTGTTGACAGTTGAATAAAGGTTTTACAATACAATACAATACAATATTTATTCGCCCACTTGGCGAATGTCACATATTGGAATTTATCCTAAGGTCAATTTTCGATATAATTTTGGAAAATTAAGACTAAAAATTTGCGATATAGTTATTTATGCATACCATTTGCAGCATATTTCCAAGAAACGGTAGTCCACGAGGCCCTAATTAATTGACATACATTTCAATCTTTTTTCAAATTTAGTAGCATTTTAACGAAAATATTGACTTTATCAATTTTGTCCCACCTGGAGGAGCATTTTTCCGTCTGGGCTTCCTCAAGAATACGAAGTAAACCAGAACGTCTCATCGATCATCATCGTTACTCTGCAACTTCGTCACCGTTTGGTAACAGCAAGTATAAATTCAAAATTAAAAATGAATCTATATATATACATACTAATATTAATGGTTTAAGATCCAAGTTTACTGAGGTTTTCAATCTACTCCAAACTTACAATGTGGCATTTTTTGCCTGTACAGAATCAAGACTTGATATAGGTAGCATTCCTTTGAATATGTTTGCAATTTCAAACTATCAAATGATTCGAGAGGATAGAATTTCGAATATTAAAAAGTCTGGTGGTGGAATTATGATATACATTCATGACTTGTTTAGCTTCGAATTAATTGAATGTAATATTAAGTTCCCGAATCTAGTTGAAATCCAAATAGTTAAAGTCTTCAGAAAGTTTGTCAAACCAATAATTGTTGTTGTTGTTTATAGACATCCTGACTCTTCTAAGGCCAAGTTTCTTGTCTCATTTACTGAACTTCTACTGTTTCTAAGTAATTTTAAGTTTGAAAAACTATTTATGGGTGACTTTAATTTCAATCTATTACACTTCAAGGACACGTTTGATTCTGAAGTACATAAACTTTTCCTACTGTGCAAATCTTTCAATCTGTGGCAAATGATTGTAGGACCGACCTTTCAAGGAAAATCTCTTCTCGACCACGTGTACGTAACTGATAAATCGAACTATCCTTTTTCTGGTCATTTCTCTTTCGCTGGTTCGGATCATGATCTTTGTTTCGTGGTACGAAATTTAGGTAAAGTTTGCCTGCCCCCTATTCAATGTTTAGCTAGATCCATGAAAGACGTTGATTGGTCTGATTTTGAAAAACACCTTATGAATTTTAACTTTAATTTTGAAAACAATCTGTCAAATACTTGTGACCTTGAAGTAATAAGATTCAATAATCATGTAATGTCTCATTTAGACAAAATTTCTCCTCTTAAACGTAGACTTGTCAAAATGAAAAAATGCAAATGGTTTAGTGATGAAGTAAAAAAAGCATGCAAACTTCGCAATTACCTTCGCGAGGAGGCCAAAAGTAATGGTGATTGGAAATCTTACAGAATTGCTCGTAATGAGGCAGCACGAATGTTGAATACTGAAAAAAATACGTATTTTAAAGAAAAGTTTGGTACTAAACTAGAGTCTGAATCTTTGTGGAATACTATTGATGAATTAACTAATTTTAGACGTAAACAATGTACTAAAATAACTTCTCTTGTAGATGATGATGCCACTATTGTTACTGAAGTATCACAGATTAATACTTTGTTATCTAAAAAAACTTTTCAATACTGACTCTGACCTTGATCACTCTGTAACACGTAACTTAATTAATAATCATATTAATAATGATGATGATGATGTTGAATTGTCAATTAATCCTGATGATATTTCACAACTGATTTCAGACACTAAAAATAAGAAAAACGACAATGTTAATATTCCTTTGTGGTTAATGAAGAGATGTGTTAATTCGTTTAGTATCCAACTTGCTGTCCTGTTTAGCCACCTTTTACATATTTTGTATGTACCTACTCTTTTTAAACATTCTATTATCTTACCATTGTATAAGGGCAAGGGACCGCGTAATGTGCCCAAGAATTACAGACCGATTGTTATCCTTAATTCCTACTGTAAATTATTTGAGAGGTACCTATATCATAGGATAAAAGATAGAATAGATGCTAAATTAATAGATGAACAGCATGCCTATCGTAGCAACAAATCGTGTCACTCTGCGATTAGTGCTTTCACCACTTTCACCTACTCTGAACTTGACAAGAAGAACGGTATTGTGGGAGCAGTTTTCATTGATCTTAAGGATGCTTTCTCTAGTATTTCACATGACAAACTGGTTCGAAAATTGTTATCCAATTTTAAATTAAGCAAACGACTACACTCTTAGAAAATGCAATATCTTTTCATGAAGTAAAATGGAACGTTATGCGCTTTAAAGTAAACCTCACTTGATTCGAAGTAAAATGGTCAACTTCATTCAAAGTAATCACAAAAGTCACCAAATGTGGAGTAAAACCACTATTTTCTAATCCACAAAGTAAGCTATTATACCATTTAGAGTAAGCAAACCCCATTTAGAATATTCTTGGTCAAACCAGACGCTGACTTTTCCCTCGCTCTCATTACAACTCGCAGCTCAGCCAGTCAGTGCTGATAGTTAAGTTGATAATTAATTAATTAGTTAGTTAACTCATAAGCAAATAATGGAGGAAACGAGGGGGTTATTGCAACAATTTGGACGGGGACGCTGAAGGGTAAGAAATTCGCATAATTTACATAATTTATACATAAATTTAATTTACATTGCGTTTAATTTTTATTTTAATTGTATTTAAACAGATGACGATATTACGGACGAGACTCTGTTAATAATTTCAGGAGAAAATTGTCAGGTTTTCTAGGTCATTTTAGGTCGCCTTTGGAATGCATTGTACAATTTGTGAGAACTTAGCTGGTATATCTTTGTTTTAAGTGCAAAACTAATATTAAAACTTTAGTATAACATTAAAAAAATTATCTTAAGTTAACAGGGTCCAGCGTTTACAAACATCCTCACTAGTGGTTCATAATAAGGGTAATTTGTAATGCAATGTTGAATGTGAAATAAAATATATTATTAAAGTACTAAATACTGCGACTACGCTTAAGTAACTTTTCCTGGGGTCATCAAAGCAAGAAAGTAAAGTCATAATCAACGCGATTTAGGGTTACGGTCGTTACCCTATTGGGCGCTCAGTTACCCTGTGAATATTGTTACAGGGTAAAATGGCTTACTTTGTGGCCGAGAGAGAGCGATTCGCTATAAGTGGGGTAGTGACACTTTGGAAGTTATATCGAGTTATATTTTACGTCATATAAAGTATGGATTTCTAAGAGTGTAGTTAAACTGATTTATTGTACTCTTGAGAATAGAACTTACAAATTTGTATCTGGTGATGATGTTTATTGTATTAATACGGGCGTAGGTCAAGGTTCAATTTTGGGTTCAATTCTTTTTTCTGCATTCCTCGACGACGTAAAACCCTCAATGGAGCTACAATTTTTATGTTATGCTGATGATATTATTATTTATTTTGGTTCTGACGATATTAACTTAATTGCTTTGAAATTACAACAATGTTTGCAATCCTTTTGTGATTGGTGTTTACTTAATGATCTTAATGTAAATTTTGACAAGACAAAATGTATGTATTTTCATAATGAGAGAGTTCCTTTAAAATCAACTGTAAATTCAATTATTGTTGATAATGATAAGTTAATCGAGCGTGTGTTCTCTTTCAAATATCTTGGCCTTGTATTAGATCCTAGTCTTAACTTTAAGTTACACTATGATCATGTCTATGCTAAAGTGTGTCAAGGCATAAAATTGCTGCATGGTCTGAAGCGTTCCATAAATGAACAGGCTATGAAGGTTTTGATTAATACTCAAGTCCACTCTGTTATTGATTATTGTATTGACATCTCGACTGTACAAACTTCTCTTTCTCTCAAGAAAGTACAAGATATTATTGATAATTTTTTGTTAAGTTACTACTTCCCAAAGCTTGCGAAATCATACTCTACAAGAAAGCGTTCACTTATTAATGTTAAAAAAGGAATTGATGTTAAAAAATTCAGAATAGATAATAATTTACTTACTGTTGAGGAAAGATCTAATTATGTATTACTTAAGAACGCGTATAAACTTTATAAACTCGATAAGTTAACCTTTTCCGAGAGATCTATTAGTTATAACCGACCTAATATGTGTGCGCCTATTCATAGGACAGAAGCTTTTAAACGCTCGTTGACGTATAGAAGATACCGTATTTGGAATACGTTACCGAAGGACTGGGAATTACGTAATATGTCTTATGGTTTGTTTCAATCAAAAGCACGTGACTTTGTCACTGGTCAGAATTGTGACCAAGATGTGCAACTATGATTTTGTTGTAGTTATTAGTGTAGTTTAGATGAATTCATTATTGTATGTGTCTTGATCTGAAAAGCAGATTTTTTCTGATGATTTGCGACATTTTAATAAACTCCAGTAAACAGTAAACAGTAAACAGTAAACTGCGGCCGCTGTCGCTAGAACTACTTCCGTTCCGGAGACCATTCTTAGCAGAAATTATGTATTTCCGATTTGCAAAATTTGCATGCAAAACTTATGTAAATACACTCTCGCAGTTTCTCTCTACCACAATTGTATGCAAATGACACGTGTGCTTCCTTCCTTTTATTGTCCAGTGGTGGATTATGTCACTTGATATCTGATTGACCAAATACCATAGACCAGAGATTGTGTTGCAGCAGCACTCTATATAGCCGCTGTATACCGCGGCTCTCTATCTCTCTTCCCTGCCAAATACCAGATGTACGGTCAAAACCCGATGATTTTATATATGAACTTGATAAATGGACAAATACATTCACAACTCATTTTATATACTGGTCTCTGTACATCCTTATGTACACACATACTTTTGCCAGACAATGGAGAATATCGACCAGAGAACGCCATACATACATAAATTTGTATGATGAAACGTTATTTGCACACTTTTTACGATATATTAAACGTCACGGTAACGTTTTTCTTGTGCCCATGAAAATGTTTGTCCATGCAAAAAATAACAACTCAAGTTGCTAAACCCGGCTTTTCAAGATATACATACACGAATTAATGTGAGTGAGGTTCATCTCGGGTGTCCGATGTTGAGTAGGTTACGCCATACAATACATAAGTTCAATTGGCAGATATGCACTCTACACAAATTTGATTAAAGATTGAGATTGAGTAAAATTTGCAATGTCACAAACCTGGTTGTGTAAAATTTATCCTATATAAAAAATTGAAATTTATCCAACGTTGCAAAATTTTCGCTCAACCTTGAGTAAATTTTGCAAAAGTTTACACGTCATCCCAAATTTTACCCAATTTTATTTAGAGTCTGCGAGTCACAAACTCTGTTCCCGTCAGAAACAGAGAGGAATCAAAGCAAAAAATGTCTTTGGGGTACCACGTAAAAAGTTTTGAAACATTTTCATAATGTAGAAAACGTGCATAGAATTTTTGCCCGCTATAAAATTTCACGATATCTCAGCTGTAACTCTTAGTAAATAGCAGAAATAAATAGCATTTCTGATTTTGGCAGTTTTTTCGCTATTCAACGCCATTATCAAATTTTGGCAGTTTTTTCGCTATTCAACGCCATTATCAAATTTTGTATAAAATTGTTATTAGGTCAAATTGATTTAAGCAAGGCCCTATGGCTCAGAGGTACGAGGGTAGGATTGTCACCACGCAGTCACACGTTCGATTCCTCTGGCCGGGAAGCTATTGCTAATCCTACTCTGCTCGGTGTTAGTACGGGGTAGGTGCTGTCTCGTGACAGGGTGAGCCCAGCCATACGGAATGGCAATGTCACTGTGTACAGCCCCTAGCAGAGTCCGTTCTCTGTGGGGATGAGACAACTTGCTACGAAATTATGGCACGAAGTCGCCATCTGAGGCTGAAAAGCAGAGAAATCTGAGTCCTGGCGATGTAAAACTGTCACATTTTAACATTTTAACATTTTTTAACATTTAGATTCGATTAATACTGCAAAATAATATATTTTAAATAATTAAAAATAATTAAGTATATATTTAATATATTTAATATATTAAAAATAATTAAATATATATTTAATATATTTAATATATTAAAAATAATATATTTTATTTTATGGGATTTTTTTACTTTGTTGAAAATAACGACTTTTTAAAGGTGAGTTTTGAAGATGAGGGCAATCTCAACAAGGAAAAGTCACTTTAGAACCTGAATATTTTACAATTTTAAAATTTGGAGAATTTCAGTAGCATAAAATGTATCGCAAAATTGAATTAACTTTATCAAAATTATATGTTAGAGAAACACAATATGATTGGATTTTAGAATGTAAATAAAATAAAATAAAAAAATCTGGCGTCTATATCCAACATATCATTGAAACTATTCCAAATAATTTTATTTATGATTAAATTTCGATGTAAATTACGGCCATATTTTACTAAATTCTTGAACTTTTTGCAATGATTTATACCAAAGTTGGGTAATTTAAATGTGTCTGTAATAATATATTTTTTAATTGTAAATCTTTTCAAAGCAGGACTCGATGACTCATTTCCAAAATCGTCAAAATTACCACATTTTAACCATTTCTAGGCCTTGGAAATTTATTTTAAAATTCTGAATGACAAATTCGTAGTCAGTTAGTTTATTAACGAAATGGTAGTAAGTTTTTAAGCCGGGTTTGATAAATTCCAATTAGACCGTAATTAGTAGAAAGTTACAATACTAATTTGGCTTTTTGAGTTGGTTGATTTTAATGTACAAAAATTTTTTATAAAAAAATACAGTTCAGATTATCAGTAAAAATTAAACAATGAAAAGCAAATTTTCAGATTGTTTTTACATCGAATGTAACTTGTATAATTATAGTTTATAAATTGTTAAGATTTCAAAATTTGCGTCATTTAAATTTTGCGTCATTTAAAGAAAACCCAAAATTTAAAATATTTTAAATCAATTTAATCAGACTTAGGAACCAGATCAGCGCTAGGATTTTGTAAGTGAAGGTACATATGTAGTTTTAAGTGAAAAATTAGCAGAAAATCTGGACATTTGCAAATTTCTCGAATCACTTTGCAATTTTATTCGAAATGCAAGAAAAAGTCTGTGTGTATTTTTTTCTGTTGCATTTAAACGCCGAAATTTAAAACTGTACGATAATTGCATCCTAGTTTGCAAACAGATTGACAAGCTTTCACCGTCAAAAGTTGCTTAAATTGAGATTATATCTTATACTATAATCTTTAGCTAATAAGAATTTCATATAAAAGTTGTTAACGACCTGGACCACGGCAAAAAACATAAAGGAAGCAAATTGGCAATATATTTAAATAAAAGTATGGGCGCCTTTAAGTTGCATAAGATGTGCAAATTTGAATATTTCGAGAGGACACAGATTTTTTAGAGTTTATAATTTCAATCACATCGCGTGACGTTATTAAGAAGCGAAGCGAAATCCCTTTATGGAAATGTCTTGTCTGTCTGTCTATATGCATGATAACCTTATAACTGATTCGAATTTTGACATGCGGTTTTCGCCAACAACGTGTTTCTAATTTTTGACGTACGGATGAGTTCGAAGATGGACGCTGTAGGTCATAAGGTCACGACGCCATGGTGATGACGCCAAAGGTGTCGAATTTTTTGTTTCCGCCATTTTACAGGGTTTGGCACGTAGGTGGATACGAATTTGACCTTGAATAACCCCAGAACGGTTTGTCGCAGCGGGTCAAAATTTTGAACAGACGAGCATGTTATCCTCAAATACTTGTGTGCAAAAAACCAACTCTCTACTTTCAAAAATGCCTCCCCCACAGCCCCCAGGAGGTGAAACACTCATTTTTGCTCTTTCCAAACTTAAATACTCATACAACCGAATTACTAAGCATTTTAAAAGTGAATGGAAAACGGTTTAGAAATCTACAATCAATAAGGTATTGAAAAATATAGGTGAAAAGCGATAAATTTTGAGTAAACGGCAACCACCACCCCCTGAAAGAAGGCAAAAAAAGTGTTAATTCCGGCCGTGTTTAGGAAAA